TGTGTGATGTGGTTACATTTCCATCAATCAAAAGGACAATGCTACTTGCTTTGGAAGAATAGAGTTAAAAGGCGGACGGCTGGTCTAGGAGATGCTTAGCAAGTCCTGAAACTTAGAGAGGCAATGGGTGCAGTCAAAAGCTACCTGAGGAACAATGGTCTGCCCCATCTTTTGGGATTCTGTACCTAGGATACAAATAAGGTTTAATATTACGGTGTACGGCCCCTGTAGCAAACCTGGAGTAATGAATTATGAACTCTTATTTCCATGACGTGATGGTTAACGTTAGGCAGCAACCTGACTGGATTGAGGGATACCTAGATGGCTGATGAAGCATTGCTTCTGGGTGGGTCTGTGAGGGCGTTGCCAGAGGAGACAGACATTTGAGTCAGTGGACTGGGAGAGGAAGAGACATCCTCAGTGTGAGTGGGTACCATCCAACCAGCTGCCAGGGCGGCTAGAACAAAGCAGGTGGAAGAAGCTGCTTTCTGAGTCGGATTGTTCTCTCTCTCTTCCTGTGTGGTGCTGGAAGCTCGGCTTCTCCTCCTCCTGTCCTTGGACATCAGACTCCAGGTTCTTCAGCCTTCTTACTCTGGGACTTGACCAGCAGCCCCCGACGGGCTGTCGGGCCTTTGGCCTCAGGCCGAGGGCTGCACTGTCCATATCCCTGGTTTTGAGGCTTTCAGCCACTACCAGCTTCTCTCTTTCCCCAGCTTGCAGGTGGCCTATGGTGGGACTCTGCCTTGTAATCATGCGATTCAGTTATCCCTAATAAACTCATATAAATATATGAGTTTTTTATATTATGTATGTGGTGTGTGTGTGTGTGTGTGTGTGTGTGTGTGTGTGTGTGTATACGTACCTCCTACTGGTGCTGTTCCTCTGGAGAACCCGAATACACATGCCTAAATTGAGCATGTATATCATTGTATGTTGGGTTGGCTTCATGGGGCTGTTGAATAATTGCGGTGCCCACCAACTGGCACATAGCAGTCATCTGGAAAGTGGAAAGAACCTTAGAGAGGGTCTGGTTAAGCTTCCTTATTTTACAAATGCAAACACATTTGCAAATGTAAACACTGAGTCCAAAAAGATAAAACACCTGCCCCAAGTTTTCACTTAGGTAGTTAGCGGCAGAGCTTGGACTAAACTCCGGATTTCTTGACTCCCCATGCAGTGCTCTTTACAAAGCCAGCGGGAGCTGTGAGGCAGTCATCCATGGGATCACCCCCATTAGTCAGCTCTACCCCATGGGCCAAAAGGAAAACAGTGACTCACAAAATCCAACAGTCCTTTGGAACGTGAAAGAGGTGTGCCTTTCTTCTGTGCTATAAAGTGTTTTCCATTTTTGTAAATAAAACCCCATTTTAAATGCCATAGGAGAGTTGGCAATTTTAAGTGCTTTAGAGACTGCCATCATATTTGGTCATGCTTAGCACGGGCTAAAACTGACTGACTGATGAGTCATTTGATAGATGGAGAGCAAATTTCGGGACACCATATTTCAAATTGGCAGATTTGTTTCAAGTGAGCACACCTGTCTGTGACTTTTGCTTAGGCCAAAGGCCACATTCATTTGCATTTTCAAGCTCTAAGGAGTGAAAGGAAGAATCAGAGCTTGAAATCTGGCAAGGGCAACACAAAAAAATTATTGAAAGTTGGCTATTGAGAACACAGACGTGAACGTGCGGTTTTAAAAGCCAGATACCGGGGCCGGGCGCAGTGGCTGACGCCTGTAATCCCAGCACTTTGGGAGGCCGAGCAGGGTGGATCATGAGGTCAAGAGATCGAGACCATCCTGGTCAACATGGTGAAACCCCGTCTCTACTAAAAATACAAACAATCAGCTGGGCATGGTGGCGCGTGCCTGTAATCCCAGCTACTCAGGAGGCTGACGCAGGAGAATTACCTAAGCCCAGGAGGTGGAGGTTGCGGTGAGCCGAGATCGCGCCATTGCACTCCAGCCTGGGTAACAAGAGTGAAACTCTGTCTCAATAAATAAATAAATAAATAAATAAATAAATGCCAGATCCCATTGATTTCCACTCCAGGAATCCTTGAAAACTCAAGGATCTCATGCATCAGGCATGTTATCTAGGGATAATATAAAGCTACAGCAGGTGAAGAATAGCCTGGGCTCCTCAGACACACAGAGAAGACACCACCCTTCATGTGAATCCCATATGTCATCCTGGCCACACCGTGAGAGGGTCCTGCCTTCCTACAACCACACCCACTTCCTACAACCACACAGGGCACTCCAGGGAAACTGGGTTAGAACCACTGCTGTTTCTGCCACCTTGCTCAGGCCTCTAAGTCTGCAGGACACAGAGACTCTGTTTTCTGTACTTCTAAGTATGCTAACAAGCCAAGATGTTCAGGCAAGCATTCCTCTGCCAAGCTACAGTAAAGACCCTATATTCAAAGAGAAATGAAATCCTGAAAATATGCCATTTTTCACCATGCCATTCTACTGCTCAAAAGCCTTCATTGATTCTGTGTTGCCTACAGAATGCAGTTCAGACTACTGAGGTGACATTTAAGACCTTCCACAAAGTGACCTCATCCCTCCTCTCCGTTTCTCAGCCTCATCGTTCTACTACATGAACCCATCTGTTCGGTCGTGCTGGCCACTTCATCACCTTCTGAATATCCCTGTGACTTCCCTGGTTGCACACATTCCCTCCCGCACCTGGAATGTACTTCTGTCCATCACTCATCTATTCAAATGCTACTTTCCACGGCTTAGCCCAAATGCCACCTCCTCCCTGAAGTCTCTTTACTAAAATTCAGCTATCCGGGTTTCAAGCGTTTCTTCCTCTGCAAGAACAGAGGTCATATTTTCCTCTGCTTTGCATACCTCACACTCTCTGATATCCACTCTTAATAAATATTTGTGAACTGATTAATTCTAAATAAACTCCAAGGAAGTATTACATGTGCAAAGCTCTCAGAAGTAAGGTGATGATCTGTAGCTGTTACAGGCACACAATGGAAACTTCAGAACATCTCGTATGTTGTCGTTGGATTCCATTCTTTCCACACAAGACCAAACTAGGTCATTTCAAACCTAAGTCACCTTCAGAGAGATTCTAGGAAGGGCACACTCAGCGTCAGCAAAGAGATCACATTCCTGGATTCCCAACTTGTTGTCGAGGTCTGCTCCTGAATCAGACTCAGGCGAGTGTGAACTGGAGAAATGAACTAATCATTAGCACCATCTGAACAAAATGAAAGCAGCGCTTTTGTTATGTTGGCTGGATATTCAGCTCTGAAAGGAGGAAAGAAGAAAACATAAGAAAGCCTACAGCCATCCATTGTCTTTCCTTCAAATGTGCTTTTCTTGCCTTTTCTTTTTTTCACGTGTATGTGATGGAACTGGAATGTCTGAGAGGCATTAATTTAGGATTGAAAAGATGGTTTGTTCTAATCTGATAAAGGTATTTACCATCAGCTTTATCACCCAGATTCTATTCTAACAGAGTCCCATTTTGTTTACCCAGAACACATTTCTTTGCTAAATTAAAAAGTTCCAAAAGTGGTATCATGCGTGATATCACATCTGATTTCAGGGTTAGGTCCAAGAATAGATAACGCAGTCCTATTTTTAGGTCGAGTAACAAGATTCGTTTGACAGACTTCACTCAGTAGACTTGGCCACATCCTCAAAAGACATACTTTTTGGGAAAAGGACAACTGAGTATGGAGTTTTCCTTTTCTATATGGAGGGTAAGAAACAAGTAAAACTAAATAGCAAATGGGCAGAAAAGCTGATGTGAAAGTTTTAGCTTTCTAAGCATTCATTAAACTAACAAATGCTGGCCGTTTTCTATTGTCAGTGCTCAATGTTGCCTTTTATTCAATTACCCAGACTATACATATTTATTGAGCACTTATTTTCTGCTAGCTAGTAAACCACTAGTTATAACTTTGTGCAGCCAAAAAGAAAATATTGAATATAATTTGAATAGGGAACACAGAGAGAAAAAATTACAAAAATTAAGGCAAATAATCAGTAATGCAAAACATTGTGAGTAAATTTTAAAACTCTAATGTCAAATTTGTGTTTATGATAAAAATCTTAAATGTTTTATTTCATGTAGGATTGATCTTCATATCCCAGGCACATGGGAGTTTACTTCGTTGACTCCCAGGTGTAACCAATTGAGAATGAGCTTAGTTACAAAGGAAGAATTGGGGCTTTGAGCTCTTGAAGCTAACAGATGGAAATACGTATGTAAAAACCTAAGTCCAGTGTAAACGCGGCACATATGGTCATAAGTATTATTATCCAAATGGCACTATTGGGGATTTTCCTAACAGATTCATTTAAAATCCTTTTTTACAGTTGTGGACCTTTTCTAGACCAATAGTTCTTTAGAAGAGGAGAGGGGATTTTGCCCCTTAGGGACATGTGGCTATGTCTAGGGACATTTTCTATTTTCACTGCTGGGTGGGGAGTGGGGAGTGGGTACTGCTGCTGGCATCTGGTGCGTAGAGGCCAGGGGTACTGCAAAACATTCTACAATGCACCGGAGAGGTCCCTGCGACAGAGGAGTATCCTCCCGAAAATGTCAGTAGTGCCGAGATTGAGGAATTCTGCTCTTCAACATCATGTTTCGTTCTCTTGGAACGTGGTACCAGCCAAAGACATCAGCATCGAACCTGAGACCAACCCAGGTGTTCTATATGGCAGGCAGCCTGGTGTACTGAAGAGTGCCTAAGGTTTGCCACCTCGCTAGCTGTGGCTCTCCCTCTCGCTAGCTTGAGATCGTTGTTCAAACCCTTAGAGATAGATGCCTTTCTCTAAACTTAAAAAAAAAAAAAATCTGCGCAATATTAATCATAGCTACCTTATACGGTTGTGGTGAACACTGAATCCAGTACATATATACATATTCAATACAGGTTCGTTTTTTTATTTCTTCTAGCCTGCCCATCCCTCCCCTCTCCCATTCCCCCGCTTTCTCCCTCCCATTCCCCCCATTTCCTCCCTCCCGGTACCGCATTTCCCAACCCAAGTCTCAGGCTCTCTTTTAAAATGCTTTAATTCCTTTGGTGGCAAAAATCAAGCTTGGGCTAGGAAGTGCGTCACCGCTCCGCAGTGAAAGGAGCTTGTTTTTCTTTCTCTGAATGCATTTCTCAGTAATTTCAGACTGATCCTTTAGCCACTTGTTGGTTGAATCCTGTCTTAATGTTTAAGACACACTGATAAGCGCTGTGGCACCAAGACGTTTTCGGGCTGTTAGGAATGGCAGTGTTTTAAATACTGAAAATAACCCGAGGGCAGAGAGCGCCGAAATCCTGTTACGTAAGCAGATGCTGGGAGACCTAGGCTGCCTCTGTTCCTCTCCCCCAGCAAGTCCGCGGATCCTCCCCAACCTCGCTGGGTTTACTTCAATGCCGCCGAAGCCTCACCAGGGGCCTCGGACGCTCACAGGACGGGCAGCGCAGGAGCTTTCTGGTCCAATAAGCCTGTGTGCCGGGGGAGGGTGGGCTGAGCTTCCCCGCGGGCGGCGGGACCGGCCGGGCCGGGGGCTGCCTGGGGTCGGGTCCCGCCCGCCGGCCCTGTGGCTCTGCGGCGCGCTCGGACGCCGGCTTCCCCTCCCTTGCCTGGCTCGGGAGCCCTTCATGTCTCCGGACCGCTGGGCAGCTTTCCAAATCCTCAAGTGCACAGAGAACACCCCGCAGAAGCCACAGTCACCCACGACTCCTCCTGCCAAAAACTGTCACGCAAAACCGGAAAACACTACCGTCCCCTTTTCTTCCAGGTCCTCCATCTCTGTTTCTGTCTCTCTCTGTGTCTGTCTCTCTGTCCCTGTCTCTCTCTGTCCCTGTTTCTCTCTGTCTCTCTCTGTGTCTGTCTCTGTCTCTCTGTCTCTCTCTGTCTCTGTGCCTCTCTCTGTGTCTCTCCGTGTCTGTGTCTCTCTGTCTCTGTGTCTCTCTGTGTGTCTCTCTGTGTGTCTGTCTCTCTCTCTCTCTGTCTCTCTCTCTCTGTCTCACTGTCTCTGTCTCTGTGTCTCTCTGTCTCTACTATTCGTTGTCTCCCCAACTTTCCCTCTCTGCGGTCTAGGTCCCTCTCTCTCCCTTTTTTTCCCTTCTCCCTCTCTCCCCCGTTTCCACTCCTTCCTCCGCCGTGACCGCCCCGCGCTGCCCCGTGGCCTCCGCCCCTTTGCGGGCTCCCGCGCTGCCCTCCCGCCCCCCGGAGAAGTGTCCGGCGCCTCCCGAGGCTGCCCGCCCGCCCCTCCCTGCCCACCTACCGTGAGGGGCGGCTCCTCCCACCTGCCCATAAAAGCTTCGCGCGTGTCGCCCGCGGCGGACCGCAGCCTTCCCGGCCCTCTCCGTGGGAGCCCGCGAGCCTCTCCCGGTCCTGCGCGCTCAAGGTAAGACGGCGCTTCTGCGGGCGGCCGACCCACGCGGCGGCTGCGGGGACCGGCACGGGCGCCCGCGCGCCTGCTGCTGGCTTAGAGCTGATTCTCGCCGCTGCTCCTTTAGCCACTGATTTGAAAACAAACTTCTGTGTGAATGGTAAAATAAAAGCTCCTTCGGGGAAGAAACAGCAGCATAAATATTGCGAAAACCTTTCTCTTTTGAAATCACTTTTTCTCCTGTTGCTGATGGTTTCTGAGGTTAAAATGTATCTGTTTGGGGGTGTTTTACCGGCGTTTTTCATTGTACGTATTTCACACATCAGTGGGGGCAAGGAGAACGTTGTCCCATTGTCAAAAATGGACTTTAAAAGAACACACTTAACTTCTTAAAAATAGCACAGCCAAAAGGTCTGCTAACAATTTTGTGATGTTTTCCAAACCCCCAAGACAGCTTCTGTGAGTCCTTTAAAAAATATCTTTCCAGGTTTTAGCACTTGGAAAAAATGATGTGAACCGGTGCCCTTTGCATAGGGAGTCGTCAGGTGACTGGTAGATAGGAAAGAACAAATCCAAATTTGCAAGGCACGTTTAGAATATGCTCTCTCATCAGGTATCTTCTCGCGACATCCTAAAATGAGAATTGTGATGGAACTAAGAAAGTGTATAAAAGAACTTCATGAATTTCTATACACACACCTAAACATAAAGCGTTTCAATATGTTTCACAGTAAGAGAAAAATACAGGCCAGATTATACAATACTTCTGTGCAGGCCAGATGGTTGAAAACAAAGATCAGCTAGAAAGGCTTTGAAAGTTTTAATCCTTCTCTCCACCCTTTTTCCCCTCATTTAGTAAATAAAAGCCAACCTCATTGGCATCCAATTCTCAGATATATTCAGTGTTTAAGTTACCCTCTTTGAAATAAAATGATCTCTTCTTATTCCTAAGGTAGAATAAATGTGCACCTGTGAAAGAAAAACATACTCCACAGCCACTTCTATAAAACCAGACACTTGGTCCGTGAAGTTTGCAATCAAATTCTGTGGGTTGTGTGGGATGAAACTCTCTCATGTGGGAGAATAACCCTCCTCAAATGTTTTCTCTGGGGAATTGCACAAGACCACTTAGAGAAGGCAAACCAAAACTGCCAGTCAGGAAACCAAACCACTCTTTTAGCCCTTAAGGTTCTTTTTTTTTTGAGACGGAGTCTCACTCTGTCACTCAGGCTGGAGTGCAATGGCACAATCTCGGCTCACTGTAACCTCCGCCTCCCAGATTCAAGTGATTCTCCTGCCTCAGCCTCCTGAGTAGCTGGGATTACAGGCACATGCCACTGTGCCCAGTTAATTTTTGTATATATTTTTTTTTTTAGTAGAGACAGGGTTTCAACATGTTGGCCAGGCTGATCTCGAACTCCTGACTTCGTGATCCACCCGCCTTGGCCTCCCAAAGTGCTGGGATTACCGGCATGCCCTTAAGGTTCTTAAAGTAAGAAGAGAAATGTTTCACCTTTTTTTTTAGTTTATTTATATTATCTCATGTGGAAAGAAGAAAACTCATCGAAGCTGTGTAAAATTCTCCCCTATTAAAGAAACAAGACTCATTAGAAATTTAACTTAGGCCTTCCAAACCATTTCTCCTTATCTTTTGCATGTCAAAAGTAATAAAAATATTTAAAAGTTCTGTTTGAAATAGAGAGGATTCAACTCTTTAAATGCAAGAGTTATTTGTAAAGTTTCAGTCATGTTAAATTTGTCTTCATTAGAAAAAATTAAAGGAGTAATAAGTTATTACTCCTTTAAGTAATAACTGTACTTAAAGGAGTACAGTTTCCTTTAAGCAAATGATTTAAAATTACTATTGGCCAAGATGATATATGACCTGAGCATATTAGCACACCTTTTATCTCATGCCACGATACAGACTGCTTGCTTTCTATCTGATGTAAGCAGGTAATCACCCATGACAAGAGTACAGGTATGGGACAAAGCCAAACCAAGTGTGTGCCACATTCAAGTTAATTCTTTTATGTACTGCCTGACTCACACCCGTTATCACCAGGATAAAAATACACTGCTTCATTCACCAGATCCCCTTGAGGGAAGTTATCTTTTCCTGGGGTGAAGGGGGAAATGCTCCCAGTTTAAATGAGCTTCCAGTTATTCCTAAGTTTGGGGATGAAAGCGTTCTCCAAGGGTTTGCTTCTGCTTTCTCTGGCAATTAATCCACTTGACCAGCTACGGACTATTTAACAGGAACTGCCTTCCCTATGTCTCATCAAGTTAAACCCCCTGAATAACTGAGTGAGATCATCTTAGATTGCTCATGATCTAACTTTCCCAGGCGCAAAGCTATCCTTTCTCCATAGGCAAGATGACAGTGCTCTTCTTAAGTTTTTAGAAAAGTCAGTGTTGAAGTTTCATGTAGTTGCCCCCAAATCTCCCCTTCTGCATAGGATGTGGAGACTTCACATGAGTGTCCTCTTTTTGCCATTATATAGCTGCCTCTTGATCAAGTCCACAGCTGTACCCAACCAACACCATTGCAGTAGGCTTGGGAGGATTTCTTAATGTTTCTCAGAAAAGATGCGATGAGAAGCTGCCCCTTTCACTAGAGACCCAAGAAGGGCATTCCGCTGATTTTGAGGGTCTGCTGTTCCTACAGAAACATGCATTTTAGACGTCTACTATTGTCAGCATTACAAAGTGATATCCTTTTCATGATCAGAAAACATATGTCTCGTTGTTCGTATTTATGAAACAAAAATCAAGGAGAAGAGGATTGAGGTGAACAGGGACTTGAACGAGGAGCTGGAGGAATTGCACAAGTGCCCTAGGAGAAAAGCAAGATTAGGAGCTCTGTTAAGAAACACGACTTCTCCTGATGCTCATTTATGTGGATTAAGGGGATGAGGAAGAGCAAAACTCCATATCTGTTCTTGTCTTTTAATTTGTTTGTTGTTTTTTAATCAATGAAAGTATAAGACCATCTCTACTGTACCCCTCCTTAGCCCTCCTTTAACAGAAAAAACAGCGTGGTTCTAATGAAGAAAATCATTTCAGTATTGCCCCATATTAAAAAACCCACAGTAATTTGCTAGTCCTAATTCTAAAAGCCACACGATGGGTAAAAACAGTGTTTAAAACATATTTTTAACTAATGGATGGATCACATCAACAAAACCAACCCTGTCTCCTGAAAGGTGTAATGTTGAGTGCTTATTTGCAAGTTAGAAGGTAGAAACAGCAATTTACTCCTTACCCATGGTTAATCACTTTGGTATGAAAACTTGCAGAGAGATTGAGACACACTGTATTTCCTAAAACCTCTGGTCATCCAAGTAACCCTCTGACTTCCTTCTCTTCAACCAGACCCATAAACATGCATGTACACTTGAGTGTATTCTTGTGAAAGGTGCACTATTCTAACTATTCAGTGAAAATAAAACCAAAAGGAGAGGAGAGGAGAATTAAGGGGATGAATGCCTTTTGGAATTGAGAGACTCTCTTTACATTGTGTAAAAAGAATCTCTCAATCCCTAAAGCATCTAGGAATACACATTTCTTCAAAGAACCCGCTCTTAAGTAGTCACAAAATGCTAAGAATATAATTAAGATCTTCCAGTGACCTGGCAGTCATTAACAGCAGTTTATACCACATGTTACTAAATTATAGCCCTGCTAAACTTCCCCTTTCCAGAGAGGTAATGAGTGAGAAGTGTGAGCATTAAGCACATTTCAACACCAACAGAGAAAAGCGGCTAATCAGGGATTCCTCTATCGCTTTAGTAACTGCGTTTGTTGTTTGAGGAAGAAGGTTCTTTACTGTTTTTCCTCAAGCTGATTTGCAGGAATGGGGTTAAACGGAGTCACATGAGGTTAGAATGTCTGTAAGACTGGAGCCCTGTATACTCAAGTCCATGAAGCCATTGAAATTGCATCAGATCAAACTGAAGTGAATAAAACAATGTGTTCACCAAAACTGATCATAGGGCAATCAATTAAAATAAAATAATGAAGTCTAACTTCTCAATGTAGGATAAGAGCAAAAGCAACAATTTTAGCTGACTATGTAAAATATGAACACACAACTGACAATTCACCTTCAGTGACCTCTATTTATTTGGGGCTCACTTCCATCGTCCCTCTGGGACAACAAAAACTGGCTCTTCTCTCCTTTAGCAAACCTTTCACAATGTGCAGATGCAGTCACAGTCCCTCTGTGACATCTCCTTTGTTCTTTCACTGGAAGAAATCGCTTTTTAATTCTCATAGAACAAGTTTGTAAAGAAGCACTCATACTTGTGGCTTCTCTCATTACCAAAAATTTCCTCATACTTCTCTTAACTAGGATGTAGATTTTCACCCTATCAAATGTAAAAGTTTCACATTTTTCTAAACTTAATTCATATACCTAAGAGAAAGTAATTTAAAATGGCTACTTGCCTCCAACAGAATATGTGAGATGAGGTTTCAAAGCCGTTTTACTGTACCTGTTACAACATCTTGGAAATTGAAAAAACCTTAGAGAATCACAAAAGGTAAATGCTGAAAAAGACCTTGGAGCTAATTTTAACTGAAAGTTAATTTTACAGGTGTAAGAGATCAGAAAGGTTCGTGTCTTTCCCAAGGCCACCCAGATAAGTACAGCACACCCAATGCTGGAGTTCACACAGCCAAAGTCTCCAGACTTAATCCTGAATCACTACAATGTGGCTTCCCTTATAATGTGAATCTGCGGTGTCGTTGACCATGCTGAGCATTCTGTAGGCACTTAACATACAGGGTTCTCAGAAACCATAGCTTGGTAGAGGTTGGACTACAGCTATACCTCCGCTACCAAATGTCTAGGACACATTGATATAAATTCTTGTGAAGAGTGAAGTCAGTGGTCATTGCCGTCACAGGGATGGTGTGTTTTTAATCAGCCTAGCATATGGTTCATAGCAGCTTCTCAGTAAATCTGTGTAGAGTGGAGGAGTGAATGGGGGAAAGGCTAAGTATAAAATATCCATTTTCCTAAACTCCTTTCTTACTTGAAGAAAACATAGTCTATCAAACTACTTTCTACAAAGTAAGGAATTTACAAAGTAAATTTTACTTTGTAGAAAATAGAGCCTATAGGGACATATAGTGACTCAGATCTCAAATGTATTGAGTTTAAGATTCTCTTTTGCTTTGAAAAATATAGGAGAGTTCATTAGCCATGACTAAACCATTTCCTGTCTGCAATATTCTCACTAGTTCTTCCCACATTTACTTGAGTTCTAGAAGCTATATTATTTTTTACAGGAGGCTTAAGATCTAGATCCAACATTCACTTGAAAGAATAAATGTATTAGAATGTGATAATTTACAGCGTAACTCTCCTCTTCTTTCACCCATTTGTACCTTCCCCAGCCTTTAATGAGAGAAAGAGCAAAATACACATAATGGATAGTCAGAGAGAACATTAAGTGACACATCGCTCGGAATTTGTAGGTATGAAATTGGTTGTAGCCGAGGGGAGAGGTGATCAAGGGACTAAGAGTGTAGATACAGGACCGTGAAGCGAAGAGAGTTTATTCCTCTGAAACAGAAGGAGAATCTCTCAGAGTTTTGAAGTGCTACAAGAGATTTTCTTAGGATTGTCTAAAACCAGACCCTCTCAAATGCTTGAGAGATGACTTTCTGTTTGAGTCAGGGTTCTTTAAAGGCAACACTAACTGAAGCTTGGATCACACAGGTGAAAGCTTTATAAGCACTGTATCTACTAAAATTCTTCTTATCCCTTGACTGGACCTCAAGTGGGGAAAGAACCTCAGTTCACCTCCTCTAGACATGACTCTAACCCAGGACAATAACTCCATGGATGCCAAGGCATTGAAATAGTCTCTGCTAAAATAACAACACAACTGTTCGTAACGCATAAAGTCACTCCAGCATAGAAAGTGATGAAGGCAGAGAAGAATATTCTTTTATTGTTTCTGTAAACAATTTACCCTGAATAAGCAGACAGATGTTATCCCAGATGCTTTTTCACTTTCCTCTAAAGCATGCCTGACAATTGTTTCCATATCTCTGAAACAGTGTGTTTCTAAAATTTATTATATGTTAAATTTAACATAACATGCTAAGCATCATTGTGAAAACGTTCTTTTAAGTAAGTCTTTCTTGAAGACTGTCTCTCTTAAGC